TTATTTCCAGGACTGCCTCAAGGCCCAACAGGGCTCCCAGAGGCATGCTTTCAAAAGTGATTGTCACAAGTGGCTACAGCTTAGCTGCCCAGAAAGGAACGTCACCTGGAGGAATTAAGAATGGAGCATCCTGAAGGGATAGCAGGCAAAAGGGGCATCCCCTGCATTTGGGAATGGAACATCCTGGAGGATCAGAAATGATGTCAGGAAGCAACAGATATTTTGGCTGCACTGTCTTTGTGTGTGTTATGCTCATTTGTTTGTTGTGCGTTAGAAGGTTTGAGTTTTTTTGTATGGGGAGAGTGGCTATGTAGATGGGTGGATTACATTGCCCATATGTATTCCTCTAAACTGCTTCAAAGAGTTACTTTGTTCTTCCGGGACACACGGGGCATTTAGAGTTTTTACCCCACCTCTCTCCTGTACCCTTGCCCATTTTCTTTTGCCCTAACCATCAAGCAATTAAGTATCCTTTTAACTAACTAAATCCACAGGGGCAGACATTTCACCACTGTGCCTCAAAAGCTCAGAATCCCAATGGCATCTTTAAAAAGTGAGGAGTGTCACATTAACCCTATAAAGAGGAAGAAACAAAGACAGAAGCTGCATCAGATTGGTGGTATTTTTCCCATTTGCACAATGGGAGGGGTGTGTGTGAAATTAACTGCTTCTATGGTTCCTTCTCCAAGAAAGTAGTTGTAAGGTAAATTAAGACAGTAATTGTAACCTCTCAGCACCTCAAGTGATAACAGAGCTCCAAGGATCATCAGAGGAAAGAGAACAAAATAGTATAAAACCACACAATAAGACCAGAATCCTGTACAGTACACAACTGAAAAGAAAACTGATTGAATGGGCTTTAACAGCACAATCTTACATATATTCTTACGTATTTCCTATTCTGACGAGGCACACAAACTCGATAGGGAGGAAATGGACTGCTGGAGAACAAAGTTCACTTTCTATTCGTAGCAGACCTTCTGTCTCCTGATCCCCCCCCCTTTAAAAACTCCCTAAAGAACTGTCACTCCCAAATAATCCTTTTAAAAATCTCAACTCCTGCATTCAGGCTCGGCTTTTCCCATCAAAGCGGAGCAACGTGGCGAGGGTGGATACAGACTTAAGCTAGAAGAAAAACTCGTGAGTCTTAAGAAGCTGAGGAATGCAATTCTTTTGTGGGTGGAATTTCCAATATATTGGAATTTGAATGACAGTTTTTTCCCACGTCTCCTTAGTTCTCGCCCCAAGCGTTAAATCGCCATTCAAGAACTGGGGGGAAAAAAAAGTAGGCATGCATCTTCCGGGAAGCCATTTCGGAAGCTGATGGATCTTGCTGCTCACAGCATAACGTTGTAGAAAAATGTCTCCTGTGGGCTCCTTCTTGGTTGCTTTTTTCCAGGTTTCTCTGCAAGGTTTGGGTGAAGAAGAGGACAGATACTACCTTTCTGGACAAGAGTAGGGTTCCTCTCCCATTCTGGCCTCAACAACGCTGCCCTTTCGCCGGTTTCACCCGATTCTGCTTTAAAAAAAAACCAGAGAGAGAGCAAACCGATTCTTATCGACTCGTCCCGGGAACGAAAACACCACACAGGCAGTTCCTCCCGCTGCCCTTTTGACTGCGGAGCAGGTGGTGTCCCACGAACCATTTCGGAGGCGGGTTGACGCCATCTCCAAAGGGCCAATAGTGAGGCCACAAGGCGGAGCGTCATTCAGTCGACGCCATATTGGGAGTGGCAGATCGGGACGCTGTCACAAAGAAGGGTCCCACCACTTCCTCTCGGGAGGGCACTTGAGACCCTACCTTGTCGACGCCATTTTGAGTAAGGGAGAATTTGGCGCGAGGGCTGCTGGTCTCTGCGTCGAACTAGTGAAGCCGAACTGGCTTGCCTCACTTTGCTTCTTAGTACTGTACCAAGTTATACTGTAGTAACTACGTAGAGTGCAGAGGGAACAGTATGGTGCTTGGCTGCCTGTCCAAAGTAGTTGTCTCTGAGGGGTGTCTTTTGCTGTTGGGGGCAATCTTAATTTTTAGCAGAGCCCAAGTAAAAGCACTATATTCTAGTCCAGTTCTTAGTGCTGGTTCTATCTGAAGGTGTTCCACCCATGTTCACAGCTCTGTTCACCCCAAACCCTTCAGGTATATAGTGGCAAATAACTAATAAATGCAACCCTTAAAGGGACAACATAAAAATAGTGTGAGGTTCATTTGTGTAATTCTTCACTTTTCTGCATGTTAGGCCATGCAATAAAACTTGAAATTTCAAAAGTTTCCCTACATGGTGACTTTAGTGTTCTCAGTTTCACAACATGATAGGCCATGCAATAAAACTTGAAATTTCAAGTTTCCCTACATGGTGAGTTTACTGTTCTCAGTTTCACAATATGATGTTGTTCTTTAGTCATTAAGTTGTGTCCGACTTTGTGGCCCCATGGACCAGAGTGCGCCAGGCCCTCCTGTCTTCCACTGCCTCCCGGAGTTGGGTCAAATTCATGTTGGCAGCTTCAGTGACACTGTCCTACTGTCTCGTCCACTGCCGTCTCCTTCTCCTGCCTTCACACTTTCCTAACGTCAGGGTTTTTTGCAGGGAGTCTTCTCATGAGATGGCCAAAGTATTGGAGCCTCCGCTTCAGGATCTGTCCTTCCAGGGAGCACTCAGGGTTGATTTCCTTTAGAATGGATAGGTTTGTTGTCCTTGCAGTCCAGGGGATTCTCAAGAGCCTCCTCCAGCACCACAATTTAAAAGCACCAATTCTTTGACGGTTGGCCTTCTTTATGTTCCAGCTCTCACTTCCATACATCACTACTGGAAGAACCATAGCTTTGACTATGCAGATCTTTGTCTGCAAGGTGATGTCTCTGCTTTTTAAGATGCTGTCATAAACAACATGATGAGTTTGTTAAATAAGCCTAGGCTGGGAAAAGTAACCTAGGTAAATAGCATTTTGTTGATGAAAGTATCTCAAGATTCTGAGATGCTGTCATAAACAACATGATGAGTTTATGTTAAATAAGCCTACACTGGGAAAAGTAACCTAGGTACTTCAAATAGCATTTTGTTGATGGTATCTCAAGATTCTCAAGGCATCCTAAGGAGTAATATGTGAGAAACTTAAGGCAAGCAAAACACATAAGTAAATTGGTTATGTATTTTTCTACATATGAAATTTGTTGATTGCCTTTTCTAAAATAGTGCTCAGAGTGATATAAACCACACTCAAAAGCTGGTAAAACAAAATAAGTCAGAAAGCATTTCAGCACTTGAAAACAGATTTATTTCTGTTTTCATGGATTACAATCCACTTCCTCATTCAGATTGAGTGTAATGGTTAAGCATAGGTTTGCATACACAAGAACTAGAGGAGTGGGATGGGGACCTTGTTTGATGGAGAAAAGAGGATGACAATTACATTGGAAATGAACTTTACGCTGAAAATGGCTTATTCAAACCAGTAATAAACATGCAAAGTATTGATTTCACTGACATGTCAATGGGTGGAGCAATCAGTTTGTACACTGCTGCCTTTAGGTTTAGATGGAACTGTTCTCAGGAAGCTGTGCTAAGGTTAGAGTTATGAGGGAGAGAATACAGTATTTTGGTAAAAGTAAGATCCACTAATTTTTTTTCTTTGCCATGACATACAGTATTTTGGTAAAAGTAAGATCCACGAATTTTTTTTCTTTGCCATAACTAACTTTAGCACAACTTTCTGAAAGCAGCTCCATCTGCACTTCAAAGACCAGCAACAAGACTGGGACTAGTGGCAGAGATTTTCAGACATTAAAAAGTTTTCCACTTCATTCTGTGGTTCCCAAAGGCTTCCCTAGAACAAAAAAGATTTCTCGGGATCGCTGGTACCTGGAAGGAGTGGGGTCGAATAGGAAAGTTTTAATTCTTGCCAAATAGCAACAGCTGATGATATCATTCAAGTTGTGTGGTGTAAAGTTTTCCAACAAGATTCCAGGCATTTTGTCACAGCTGTGGTGCCACAAAGGCTATGCGTACCATCCAGGAATATTCCTAAAACCATAGAAATATGCCTTCCACTTAAACTTAATATTGATCTATCTTGTTGAGAAATTCGCAGGAGCTGAGCAGGGCTGCCAATAATAGGACATTTTGGAGATCACTCATTCATGGGGTCACCATAAATCAGATATTATTTGAGAACACATAACAACAATATTTTGGAGGTCACTCATTCATGGGGTCACTATAAATCAGAGATCTGAGAACACATAACAACGATAACCCAATGTTATCAACTGTGATTGGCAGTGACTTTCCATGGTCACAGGCAGGATTCCTTCCTAGCTCTATATGGAGATCCCTGGTAGTCACCAGTCTACAGGCTAATCAGGTCTGACCTTAGTTATCTTTTCAAATCAAATGACATCAGCTGCGTGCAAGATCATATCATGAAGCCTAGGCAGTTGATGTTGCTGTAGAAAGTTGAGAGAATTCTACCATGAACAGAAAAAAAAGTACAGGTTAAATTGATAATCTCATAAACAGATTGCCAGAAAATTGCTATATTTGTGTAAATAGGTTGACAGATACTCACTATAACTTTTTTATAAGTCCTTTATTTCATGGCATAGCAATACTATAAGACATAACTAGGGGACATGGTAATGGATGGTGCACACAATCCTAATTTTATGCTACTGGGTCACAACTGCACTACAATGCTTTATAAATATCTGTATCCAAGTAGTAGGAAGTTAGATTGATTTACTAGAAATACAGTAGAAGCAAATTTAAAATGAGCCTGGTGCTCCTGAGTGTGGCAGAATAATGCTATCCCATTGCTGGTGCTGAAGTAAGAATCAACTGTCTGGCTGGCTGTTTTCTTCAATGAACTGATGAGAACAGGTACCATTTTGTGTTTTGGCTGAGCCATTGCCACATCTTGGGATAGGCCTGATGTTAGGATATCAGAGCACTAGGAAACTGAGGTCACAGATGACTCTCTTGTGAGCTCAAAGGTTCCATCCCAGACGCCTTCAGCACTGACTTTATGCTCTGTTCCAGTGGGGCCTGTGGGTTAGCCTGTGTCATCTCATCTCGTCTATGATGCCCCTTCATGACTCTTTGGCCTCCCTCTGCCACCGAGAGGAAGGATGGAGCTTCTCCTTGGGCTCTGTGCTCTTTTCCAACTATTTATCGTCTCCTCCGGCCGTAAGCAACAATAGCCAGAGCCAGGATATTTGAACTCAGTTTTCCCAATTCAAGGAAGTAGGGAGGGCTTGGGGGACAGACCTGTGTGACTCAGAGACTCATAGTTCTTTGGGATGAAGTGGTATAAATCGGAAGACACAAAACCCAGGCAATTAGTCTATAATAATAAATTATTGTGGAGAAGTCAAAACCTGTATGAGCTGAAGCTGGTTTCTATGACCAGCACCTTGCTTTGACTAGCCTGTCCATCATTAAGGGAGACTATGGATGAGTGCTTTATGTTGTGTGTTCCTGTTCACGGACCTGGCGTGAAAAACTGGTTCTTGCCAGCTCTGCATGTAGGGCTCAAAACTCCCCAGATTTGGAGCAGATGCTGCCTTGTACGCTAGGTAGGATGATTGGGATGGATGATCTTAACGGTGTTTTGCTGTTCCCTTGTAGTCTGTGGCTTTCGTCACCTGCTGCCCAAGCTGGCTGAAGCCATGCCAAAAAAGAATGCAACTGTGGAAGCACCGTGGTTAGTGAACATCTATGGCAATGGCCAGAGGTGCCAAGGAGTGGTCCTGAGCAGCTGGTGGGTGCTGACCGCAGCCAACTGCTTCCTGTCAATGTGAGTAATAAGAGAGAGCCTGGTAACTCTTTCTCATCCAGGTAGAATTATGAGCTCTGGTCGTGGAATTGTTGATTTTGCCATCGAATATAGCGGCTGATCCAAAAGTGAGCTGCCGTAAGTATAGCAGCTCAGGATAATGGAACAGGTACCCTTACTTGGGATAAAAATGAACTGCCATGTTTGCCTTACAGGTCGCCGAGCCATGTAGAATTGACCGGGGCTCATGGGAGTATTAACACTCAGTCGGTGAGCCAATTCATGCCACACAAAGGCTTCAGTACCTGGGATACAGAGCCTAACAATGACCTGGGACTCCTTCTGCTTAGCCAGCCACTTGATTTAAGAACGAAAGATATGTGGCCAGCTTGTGTCCCCAAAGAAGAAAAAGCTGACAACACACAAGAGGAGTGTAGGATTTTTGAACGAAGCCAGGACGGTGAGTTTGGGAGGTTGTACCTTCAGGATTCAGGGGGTTTCATTTGCTGATGATAGTAGCCGTAGGATGCAATATATTGTAAAATGATTAGCTATTGTGAGGAGTGAATGCGTCTATGAAAATCTGCACAACAAGCAAATTGTCTGATACCTAGTACACCATTCAGCACCCTAACCGTTTTTTTAAAAAAAGTCACTTCTTTAGAATGCTTAAGGCTATCAAAATATTTTTAAACATACAGTTAGATTCTAATGCATTACCAGAAGCAGAGGTGGATGGGGTCTAGATTTGCTTTGTTTTTCTGTATATACATAGTACACACACAATCCTAGTAAGGGTCTCAGATATTAAAGGACATTTTATTTATGTAAAAAAAATTTACCCCATCTTTCTCTTTAAAAGTACTCAAGGTAGTTTAGATAATTAAAAAGATATTTAAAAACTAAAAACAATGAGTATGCTAATATTTTAAAAATTAAACAAGTATTATATTAAAATAGTAATTAAAATTAATACTAAAAACATATCTGGCTTAGACAAACCAACTTTCTCTCCTCTACAGAATCGACACTGAAAGAAATTGAAGTGGATGCTTTGATGACATCAAAATGTGTCAAACGCTGGCCTGGAACAACAGAAAAACTGAACTTGTGTGTTGCAAGAAAGAACTCTGACCAAACTGATTGCAGGGTAATGTGTATGCGTGGATTTGCGATCAGGCTTTTGAATGGGGTAGCACTCCTTCCCTGCTTTGCAAGAAAATACAGTCCTTTAACAGCATCTCTCGCCATTTCCTTTGGCTCTCAGGGCGATTAATTCTCTGAAACACTCACAAGAAGACATCACTTATACTTGCCCTATCAAGACCCTGGATGCTGGTGTTTCAAGCAGCAAGTGAGACCCCCTTAAGCAAAGCAAAAGCAAAGCATGCTGCTTATATACCGCCCCATAGTGCTTCAGGCACTCTCTGGGCGGTTTACAATTTTAATTATACATGCTACACATTGCCCCCCCCCAGCAAGCTGGGTACTCATTTTACCGACCTCGGAAGGATAGAAGGCTGAGTCAGCCTTGAGCTGGCTACCTGGGATTGAAGCCCAGGTCATGAGCACAGTTTTGGCTACAGTACAGCGGTTTAACCACTGCGCCACGAGGCTCATTTAATCTGTTTCCTGCACTTGTATCATCTTTTTCCCAGCCACAAAGGTTTTCGGAACCATTTGGGACCTTTTCCTTAAGGTTCACTATTGGAGCAACCCAGTGCTTGAAATCCACTGGTTGGTGGTTCCATTGTACAGTATAAAGTGGGAGACATGCTGCACTGGCAAAGCACAGTAGGTGTCACTGCCATGGAAGATTGATCCAGGGAATACCTCTGAAACAAAGCTTTTCCATCAGCAAAGATACACCAAGGACAATTTCTGGACCTTCCTTAATTGTCTTCCATATCTCATTCTCATGCTCACCTTATTTTTATGTTACAGGTGCCCATAGGCAGTCCTGTGATCTGTCATAACCCGGACAACAAGCACTGGGAAGTAATGGGCATGGTGAGTCGGAGCTTGCGTAAGTGCACTGCTCCTATCTTGGCTTCCAAAGTTTTAACACATCTGGAGTGGTTGAAGAAAGAAAAAGCAGTAGAGGATCCTCTCAATCCACGACTTGATGATAACAACCAGTCATCTGCTCCAGAAGAAGAAGAATTGTCTCCAACTGCTGGACAAGCTGTAACATTCCCAACAGGATTGATCTATAAACCAAGATCCCAGGAACCTTCGGCAGCTTTAGAAGTGCCAGTATCGCTCCCAGATGCAGAACCAACACCTGTACATCCCAGAAAAGCAACAAAGCCTTCCTCGACTGCCAATAATGTTATTTTAGTAGCATCTCCATCCATCCAGCGATCATCACACATTGCTCCCACAAGAACCAAAACATCAAGGCGAAAAACATCAGCTTCAGTACCCTCCACATCTGAACAGCCGTCAGTTGTACAGTCCACGGAAACACAGCAGTCATCGCCTGTAGTCTCTTCCACAGCCGAAGAAACATCTGCAGCACCCACAACAGTCGGAAAATCTACAGCAGAACAACAGACATCAGCTGTTGCCTCTTCAACAACCAACCAAACACCTACAACATCTACAACACTTCAAACATCTACAACAACGCAACAGACCTCCACAACAGAACAGCAGCCATCCACAACACAGCAGCCATCAACAGTCTCTTCCACAACTAAACAAACAACGGCAGGACCAACAACAAAACGCCCACCCCAAACTTCCCCAACATTCAGACCACCGCATATAATAATAATACCTGCTACCACCCCAAAGCCTTTGCCACCTCCAGATCATGTTCATTACATTGTTGTAGATCCTCAGTTCCCCAAGAACAAACGTGAAGAAAGCCCATCTCCTGACCCTTCTGTAGCATTACGTGGCCCATCTAGTATGGAGGTGTCCTTTATTCCCCACTTTGGACTCCCTGTGCAGGTGAAGCTCCACCAGTGTGAGATGGGATTGGCCTGGAATAGCAACTCCCATACATACCAGCTTAACAAGATGGCAGTTCTGATAGATCGCAAAATTGGTGAGCATTTCTGGCTAGTAACTTTTCATATACCATTCCTTCCTTGGATCATGGGGGCCTGGGCATAGGTTATTTTCCCTTTGTATCAAGCTCCTCCATCTCCACCATTCTTGAACTTGACAAGTGATCTAATTTCTGACAGAAAATCTAAAGCCAGAATGCAGGTAAATCCTATTTGTAATATTTGGGTCTTCCTTCTACAGGATGTGGGCTGCGGCCTGGTTTTGTGCCGAAATGCCCCAGCTGCTCTGAGGCAGAGATGGGTGAGTTCCCCTGGATTGTTTCCCTAAGACTGTCCATCCAACACTTCTGTGCTGGCTCCATTCTCAACCCTTGGTGGATTTTAACCACAGCCAACTGTGCCAACCTGATGTGAGTGTCCTATTCTACCTTTCTTATCCAGTTCAGTACTTGGGAACTCTGCAGATGATGCCTGGGATCTGTAGGGAATCTCCTTTCTCATTTCAAATGTTTCAGAATTCTGTGTAGTTGGAGATAACCTGGCTCATAGGTTTATTAGGGGATCTCCTGGAGGCACCCCAGGGTTTAATGAGCTCTTCAACCCTAAAAGTAGGAATAAAAGAAACAGAAGTACTGTGGCACTTTTAAGTGTAAGAAATTTATTTCAGTTTGAGCTTTCATGAATAGCAATCCAGTGCTTTGTATCTTGTTCCAAGCAGGAATGGGCAACATCTGTGTGCCTAGGGGCCCCTGTGAGCCCCATTATATTATCCTGCAGTGAGAAGGATTGTATCTTGGTCTGGAATCTGGTTTGTGTGAAATAAACCAAAGTAAGATCATAAATAAATGTATTAGTCAAAGTATTTTAATCTAGAAAAAAATCTTGTGTGTTGATTGTCGGAACCTTTATATTTCATCAGTGTGAAAAATAACTCTGTAGAAATATTATTTAATGTTTCTCCCATCATGAGAATTCCAGATCAGTGGCTACGGTAGGTGAGAGCAGTGAGGTCTTCTTTGTATTAATCTTCTTGTTTACAGGTTGAGCAGGTATAACGGGTTGAAGAAGCATATTTCAGTTGATCGCATTTTATGTAAGATATTTTCAGAGCTTGGAAAGTTACTTCTAGCAACAAATTAATTACCGTTACGATTGCAGTCCAACTCACCGTTATTGCCGCATTAACACTTTTTAAAATGATTATTTAAATCTCTGCTTCTTATAAGAAACTGAAATAGTTACTTTAAAATAACCTGAATGCTGCAAACTGCTGACCTGCATTATAAAATTAATTATTTCCCTATCCATTTCGTCATCACCTCAGCACCAGCAAGAGAGCACAGGACAACATTATACACGAAGACTTGAATTGTATGGTTTCTCCTCTTTCACTGTTAGAGGCCACATTCCTGTAACTGTGAAAGTAACTAAAAGTTGCAGTTACACCATAGGAGACGTCAAGACACCCCTCAATACATTATATGATTTTGATATGGAGAAAAGGAATTAATTGAAAGTAGCAAAATTTTTTTGTAACTAGTTATTCTAAGCTGTGGCTGTTCCTAGCTGCCTTTCTTAATCAAAGGGCAGAACAAATGCTGGAAAAGCAATAGATGGAAGATTGATTATTGATGTTGTATATTGATGTTGTATTTGAATTGTTTCATTTTAAAGTGTTGTTAGCTGCCCAGAGTGGTCAATTGACCAGATGGGTGGGATATAAATAAAATGAATCAATCAATCAATCAATTAATCAATCAATCAATCAATTAATCAATCAATCAATCAATTAATCAATCAATCAATCAATCAATCCCAAACAAGTCTCTGTAATATGTGATGGGTGTAACTACTGCAACTTTGCTTACCCTTTTGATTTTGCTCCATTCCTATTTCAGAAAGAATTCAGAGACTTTGGCGCTGGTGCAGGCTGGGCAGGTAGATGCCTCCAAGGCAAGCTACTCCGTCCAGATCCGCCAAGCTCTGACTCACCCTGGTTCACTGGAGCAGCAGGATCTTCACAACTTGGGGCTTTTGGAACTGGAGGAACCACTGGAATTTGGGCCCCTTGTTGGACCCATCTGTCTCTTAGACAAGGCGGATACAATGGCTAATTTCAGAGACTGTTGGCTGCCAGGCTGGACTATGCTGGATGGTGAGTGCTAGCAGGTATCTGTTTCGAGTAGAGCACTGACTTGCAGCTGGTGGTAACCTGTGATACCCTGGAGGAGGTGTCTCTAGGACTGGGAGCTAGAACTGACTGCTTCTCATGGCCTGGCCAGTGTATTATCCTTTTTTAATGGCACTCCTTGTTAGATCATTCCTGGTGATCATCCATGAGTGCATTGGTGTATTTGAATAACCTAATATCAAGCCCAGAATATGCTAAGCGCATATGCTCTCCTTGTACTCCAGGAGGTCCTACTGTGCTGTTGAAGCATCATTTAGACATCCTGAACATCAGCAAGTGCAGCCAGCTTGGGGACCAGCTCCCCAATGCTACCTTTTGCATCAATGCCCAGGTGGGCCAGGAAGGAATCTGCAAGGTGAGAGAGAACTTGGCAGTATGTAATAATTCTTACCCATTTCTATATTGGTTTCAATGCTGCTGTAAGCTGGGTGTGAATTTAAGTCATTACTCCCCCTACTACATCTTGCTTTTGGACAATGAAAGTGAAAGGGCCCAAACTGCATAATTTTCTGACCACCGTGCACAATTTGTTCAGTTATACAACACCAGCTGTATAACACGTGTGTACACATTGATATCAGGAGCACTCAGTGTGAAAAAAGCCATGTTACACACGGTATGTACAGTGTTTACAAATTAGCTTACTAAATGATTTGCAGAAAGCATCCTGCAGAAAGCAAACCAAAAGATTCAGAAAAAGTGTGATGGCCAAGATGTCTTTTTCATACTGCTTTTGTTTCTCTTCTCAGCTCTTCTCCCTTCTTGTCTCTCCTCTCCAGGGTGATGTGGGCTCTCCACTGATCTGTTCTGACCCCAAGGGTGGGGCATGGCTTCAGCTGGGGGTATTAAGCAGCTTCGATGAAGCTTGCTCCCATCCCTATGTGTTCAGCAGCCTGCCCTTCTACTTGCCCTGGCTGAAGAGGGCCACAAAGGCTGCTGGGCATCGTTACAACCTCTTTGTCCCTTGGGAACGGCTGGGCGCTGCAAATAATCTTCGTCTGCTAAGGCAACCAGAGTGTGAGTAGCAGCTTAATGATTGATCTGATTTAGTACCATCTCCCTAGTCCTCCAGGTCAGTGTAAAAGGCTTGGGACCCCAATATCTGCTGGAATGTCTCTCCTACAAAATGGCTACACATCCAACCTATTCAAGAAAATCATCACTAAAAACTGGGCATTTTCTATTGTGGCCCCATATCTTTGGAGTAAATTGCCAGGTTTGCCAGGTGCCTTCCCTCCCAGTTTTTAAGGAATTATAAGAACAGAGTTGTTTAACACAGCATTTTATTAATGTGTGCCAATTCATGTCTAACTGTGGTTTAAATTTGTTTACTTATGTCAGATTTCACAAGTTATGTGGTTTTATTTATTGTTTATTGTTTGCCAGTGTTCTTAACTGGTATTATATTATCTGTAGTTTATATGTATTGGTTGTTAACCACCAGAGATTGCTTATCCCTCTAGTGGACAGTATACAAGATAGAATGAATGAATGAATGAATGAATGAATGAATGAATGAATGAATGAATGAATGAATGAACAAACAAACAAACAAACAAACAAACAAACAAGTCTTGGTTCTATCCCTATCCCACCATACAGTACAGTACCCTCCCTAGTAAGCACTTTTTGCCGTATGTAGAGAGTCAGAGCAGTGAGGGCTTAATCTTTCCTGCTGGCTGGGGAAATATTTTCTCAAAAGATGTGTCTTCAAAACTCTGCTCTTGTTTCTTTCCCTTACACCTTGCACCCTCTTTCCCCTTCCTAGCTATGATTGCACAGATCTCTGCACAGTTGTCCATGCCCTGGCAAGTACTCATTGCCACATGTGAGAATCAGAGCTGTGGAGGCTCCATCCTGAACCGTTACTGGGTACTGACAACAGCGCAGTGTGTTCGGGAGGCGTAAGTGATGCTCTTGCTCTCGGCCTGATTCAGAGTCAATGCCATCTAGAGGTGGGGGAAGGAAGTCCCATGTCTCCCACTGGGTCGCCGTGGCCTTAGATAGCTTGGCCCAACAAGGGAATGGTATTTTCTTATTAAAATCCTTTCTGAGTCGTGTCTTTTGCCTTGCACAGATATTGCCCTTTTATGGAGCTCTAGTTTATTCCCTTAAATCGCATTTGCATAGAAAGGAGGAGTAGGGAGAGATATCTCATTACAGAGTGAGAACCGAAGGATGCACCCATTCTGCCCACACAAGGTGCAGGGAGCAGCAGTCCCCCAATAGGCAGGCAGGAGGAGACTATCAGGTTGTCTGGCCTAATCTATACTTAGCCACTCTATGGAGATCAGAGGATATGACATTCAGGAAAAGTGAGAGAAGGGACCAATTAGGTAAAGAATAGCCTCTTTACTTAATTATATCAGAAGTAAACTTTCAGCTTACTATAGTTTGTGGCTAACTGAGCTAATCCATAGTTTGAAATAGTGGAGGAGTTACCTTAGATAAACAATGTAAGCATCTCTCAGCCTTTTGCTTCCTACCACAGCCCCCACCCACCAGACTGTGGTGACTATACAGTATAGAGCAAAAGAGTTTCTGTCCCTCATGCCTTGTCGTTCTACCTCTCACCTGAAACCAAGTCCTTCTGGCTTTCTTTTTAAAACCTATGTAGGGACCCAGGAAGCACAGCTGTCTTTGTGGGGTTGACCCACCCCAAGGGCTATGTCAAGGGCATCCCTGTGGCTGGGATTTATCCCTATGAGAATGGCTCCTCACAGTACAGTCTCTCCGATGACTACAGCTTGGCTCTGCTGCTCCTCCAGAAACCCATCACCTTTGGCAAACACATCACTCGTATGACCTTCACCCCAAAGGAGTCCTGGGATAGCTGCAAAGTGATGGGTTTGCAAATGCTACAGCCTGGTATGTTAGGGGTTACTGGGGCCAGTGGGGGGAGGGAGGGAGGGAGGGAGGAGAGCATCCCTGGGCTGACATGCTGCGCTCTAGAGCCACTGCACACGGCATTGTTATTGTTTCTTTCGTCACTTCAAAAATCCTTTTGTAAACACTACACCACTTTTGAACTGGGTTTGTGCAGGCAGGCAACAAATCTCAAGTAGACAGAGCTATCCCCCCCCCCAAATGCTGTGCAGACTGGGATGTACGTACATGCTCACAAACTGTTCCACTTTGAACAACACCAGCAGATGTATGGATTATGAAAATCAGATGAATTACATGGAAGTGAAGAGTCTGATCTGTTCTCCATGCCATCAATTCCGCACCTTTCTATCAGCTTTATAATTATTCTTTGGGTCCCATACAAAGAAATCTGTGCATGATCAGGTGAACAAAAGTGCAGCCAAAAGACATTCTCTCTCTCTCTCTCTCTCTCTCTCTCTCTCTCTCACACACACACACACACACACACACACACACACACACGTTCCAAAGACTGTCTGTGCTAAAGGGTTGATCCTTGAAGCACTTTGTGGTACCAGTATATATCTCAAAGGTCACTCAGCTACTACTGATCCACATGTCCCCAGAAGCATTTTTGCTAAATGACATACGCCATGCTGTTATCATGCACAATATTCTCCCATTCCCTGTTTCTTCATGTAAGCATCAGTCAATAAAATAAACAGAACCTGGGGAAATTACTTTTTTATATTGCAACTCCCATATTCCTCTAGGTAGTTATGATCACTATGGGGTTCTAGGAATTGTAATCTGGAACAATAACTTTTCACAACTCTGGAAATGGGAGAGAAAATGAAATCTATTATGTCAAATCTTGTGCCATCTGGATCCCCTGTCACATATTTCATTCCTGTATCTTTCGAGCAGATGTGCTGAAGATAATGGTGGATTTTTAACATGCATGCGGTACTAATATATAGTAGAAGTTGTGATGATGGGAACAATGGGTAGGTCATAGTCCCTAAATAAAATTAGTTTGGAATAAAATAGTCTTATACTGTACTATGTCTACACATCTAGAGTTAATGGGTGTGTCCATACAGGGTGAGGTTTACTCAAGGCAGAGTTCTGCAGGATTGTTCATCAGAAGCATAACTGTTCAAATGAGGGTGGAAAGCAATTTCCTGATTTTCCCATCTTTTGCCAGGAGAAGTTCGATTCAACCCCAGTGCCTACCAAGTCAAGGTGCTGATACCCTCAGACTGTGCCAAAGAACATCCTGGAGTCAACCCAGGCGTGTATTGTGTTGTGAGGGATAACTCAAGCTACCTCCCTGCTGGAGCTGTGAGTACCTCTCCAAAAAGCCTCCGGTGAACCACAGAACTACGCAATCTAGGAAGAGGCCAAAGCCCATACTTTTGTCTGATTCTCTTCTTTTTGTCTGGTTCTTCTTCAGGTAGGTGAGGGCGCGGCCTTGCTGTGCCACTTGGAAACCAAAAGCACCAAGTGGAGCCAGGTTGGTTTGGTGAGTGAGCCATTTCCAGGATCCCAGACCGTCGTCCTGTCCTCCAGCATTGCCTCCTATGTGGACTGGATAGAAAAAACATCCAAGCAAGCCAAGCATCTCTTCGTCATGCCCCACACAAGCGCAGCCCGTAAACCAAGTAGCTGGTTACTCCTCCTGCTTCTGTCTTTGTTTGGTGGAGCAGAGCTGGGCTGAACAGAGAAGCAAAGAAGATGGCGACATCACCCCAAAACCTTCTACATGGAACGCTGGCCCAGAATACTATTTTCAATATGCTGTTGTGGCTACCGGATTATGGGCTGGCTCAACTTCAGTGCTGGGCTTGAGTGCCTCTTCCCCATGTTGCAAGTGGCCGGACTCTTTAACTTCTGCAGACATCATGAGATTTCTCCACATGCAGATACTCAATGAAGGACAATCGTGGCTGCCTCCGTCTAGTCAGCCGGGGCGCAGCCTAGATGGACTTCAGCAGCTGCCCTGGATGTGGCTGAGCCGAGCCTGAGGGCTATTATGCCGACTTGTATTGACTACAGCTTTGATAAAGGAGCAAATTGTAATTATGATAAATGAGACAGAGACATTTGAGAGTATAGAAAGCTTCATCTTTAGGATTTTAAGAGAGAGAGGGAAAAGATAAGAAAACTATGGAAAAAAAAGCTCTGGAGAATTCCTATTGAAGTTTCTCAAGACTTTGCAAGGAGCTACTGATTTGATTCTGTGATGTGGGCCACCTAATCCTACTCCCAAGCATGGGATTTGCATAGAATGAGTGTCAAAAAACAACAGATTTGGCAGTATATATGATTCCAATTGTACAATTGGACCATCGCCCTATAATTAAATACATTTTAAAAGCTCCAAATCCTCCTAAATATGATGAGGGTTTTCCAGTCTATACTGGGCTACCCCAGGACTCGGCATTGAGACATCAGGCAGGGTGTCAGTCTTTTCCTGGCCCAAAAAATCTCGTTCTAGAAAGTATCCTTTGCTTATCTGCCACCTTTTTTTTCATTTCTAGAAGGAGCTTCAGAAAGGCTCAGAAAGAGAGCAGGTGGTGGCCGAGCAGAGGAACTGGGAACAGGAAAGATAATGGGGGATAAGGGGTTGTTTCCCACTGTCTGGGTCAGCCAGTTGCAGTTCAGCTTTCACCTCGGGGGCAGTCGGATGCTGATCATTACTTCAGAGCCATGAGGACCATCTGGTTTCTCTCTCTCCCAAAGGCGCTGTGGATAGTGTGGTGGCAGGTTCCATCTATGTAGGTTTGCAGAAAAGCAGACACCAAGGGAGACGAACTCTGTAGACTTGGAGGGGAGGGGAAAGCCATACCTGACATTCCACAGTGTGAGCCCCCAGGGCTAGAATCTGCTCCTTGTGATTTACCTCCTCTGCTTTCTGAACTGTAGTGCAATTTTAAACGCCCTTCTCCACACCTTGGTTGCTTCCAGTTTTTGGTCCCATGTTTTAAGCTGTCGGCTCTCCACTTTTTTTCGGTGGTGGAAGATGGTGTCTGCATTCTTTAGGTTTGCTTAGCTACCCTCTTTGAAGGCATGTGGTCATAGAACCCAGGAGTTCTGATTCTGAAGCTTGGTCGGTGTAAAAGGTCCAGAGAGGCTTGTTAATAATTCAAGGGGCATTAGAGACAAGCCAGTGAAAAACAGGATGCTTCCAAGTGAGTGTTTACTCTGCAGTCACACTCTGCCTTATTCATGGAAAATTATAGGAAGTCCACACAATGCTGCCTTTGGTTTGCAACCTTCTGTTTTCCCAACACTTGTGTCTCCCCGCTCTTTACTTTTGAATATCCATCCAAGGGGGGAAAATAGATTAGTTGCACAATGCCATTTGATTGTAAGCAGTGTGCTTTCTCCATTTGGAAGTGTCCAGGATCTCAGGAAAATCCTGACAGAGACCTTCTGGATTTGTGATATTTTCCACACTGTAGAAATACTGAGAAGACTTTAAGACCTGGTGATGTGTATGGCCCATGTAAAGGTCAGTCTGAGCCCATTAGAAACACAGTATGGAAAATTCCTTCCGGCTTTGCCAATAGCAGTATCAACCTCCATCCTGCAAAACTACCTGCAAGAGGCCTAATATGAAGGTTATAAAACATCCTGTGTGTCTCTGGAAGGAGGGAATGGGGCTAGCAGCAACAATGACTACAACACACTCTCAAATCAATTCTGATTTATGATTTCTCTTTTTTGGTATAGAGTAGTCAGTCTTGGTTTACCAGTTCGTCCTTCTCAGAGTGCTCTGGGATGGAGTAGCTGGCCCAAGGCTACACCAACTGGCTCTTCTCCCAAGAGGCACAGTGCGGAATTGAACTCCCATCTTCTGGCCCACAGCCAGGTACCCAACTCCATCCATCCATCCATCCATCCATCCATCCATCCATCCATCCATCCATCTATCCATCTATCCATCTATCTATCTATCTATCTATCTATCTATCTATCTATCTATCTATCTATCTATCTATCTATCTATCTATCTATCTATCTATCTATCTATCTATCTATCTATCATCTAATCTTCCCTAGGAATTGATTCTGCTGTGGACTGTGAGGGATTTTCTGGTCTAAAGAATGTGACCTAGGAATGATGCTGTTCCAGGGTATGTGGGTTCCTCATTTCTTTGGCTGTTTTCTCAGGTCCCATCTGCCTCCACCATGTTTGCGCTCCACAGAGTGTTGCTAGGCACCTCTGTCCCCATGGAACGCCTTCTACCAGCACCTGCTGGCAGTGAGAATAATCACAGCCCCCTCCCTTAATCAGACTCATTTCGCTCCCATCTCTCTCTCTCTCTCTCTCTCTCTCTCTCTCTCTCCATATCCCCCTGCTGTAATAATGCCCCCCAGCCCCTTTCCAAGAGTTTGGGGGAAATCTGGAGCCGTGGGAATGATTCCTGCTGTGTGGCACACATGAAGGATGAACGACGGGGAGGGAGACAGGAACAGCTCATGCATGGGCTGCAATTCCTAACAATAAGGCTGTAAGCTGAAAAGAAGCATTTGCACTAGTCTGGGAAATTTGGGCATGAGGTGGGGGAGGGTAAACTTTCAGCATGTGGAAAGAAGGCATTTCCCCAACGTGCATTGCTGGTTTATACTTATTTATTTTTGAACTGGAGCCATTATACATAGAGATCCCCATCATTCTGTGCTCTTCCCATGTGCCCCACTTCTTGGGAGGAGGGATTGGGATTTTAGGAGCATGACAGTGAAGTTAGTAATACAAACTTTAAGGAGAAAGGCTGAAAGCGGTGGGGAGAGAAATGGCCATTCAGAAACTCAAGGTACACAGGATAAGATATTGCTCTAAGTACAAAATACAGAAATATATTCAATCACAGACAATATTTCCCTTAAGTGCTATTCTTTTTTTGAAATTATACAAAAAGGGTGTTGGTTTCCTGTGCCTGTGAACGGAGGTTTTCTGGCGGTCAGTTTGTACTGAGTCTTCCTGGGGAGAAGATCATGTGAAGAACATAGGAAGTTGCCTCATGCAGTATGGGCGAGGGCAGGGCAGGGGGTTGGCAACTGTGAAGGGGTACAGACCAAACACGCACCCCAGTGTCATTCACCGTCTTGAAGGAAATTTGGAAACGGTAGTCAACCAGCAAACGTTTATTTGAAACTGTTTGCACACAGCTCCACCAGACTGTTCAAGTCACTGTAGTCTTTGCAATGAAACCAGCTCTGTTCCACTGAATCAGCCCATCTGACTCAATGGACCAGAACTAAGGGATGGGATGAATTCATCTTCACTGCACCCACTATCCATGCTGTCAAACCAATAGCTTTTGTCTTGCAGCTTATATACTGCCTTATAATACTCAATCATTCTCCGGGCAGTTTCTAACATAATTATGCAAACTACTTTGCCCCCACTGAGCAGAGTACACATTTTACCAACCTTGGAAGGATGAAAGGTCAAATCAACCTTGTGCTGACTACCTGAATCCATCAGGATTAAACTCAGATCATGAGCAGAGGCTTGACTTCAGTACTGCAGTATAACCACCGTGCTGTGGGGCTCTGTGACTGTGGACAGTATTTTTTGACCATTCATGTTCTATTGCTACATCATTTTCGTTGGCTTACATCTCTGTTTTTAAAGCGTTTATCTGGTCCAGTAGACTTCCAAGGAAAATAAGTTAGCAACTTAGATTGAATTAGAGGAGGCCCTGGAGGCAGAAGCAGCTTCCCAGAGCTGTTATGACACAGCAGCAGAGACATAATTGTAAAGCTACAAAAACTTTTGATTTTGTTTTTTTTGGTTCTGTATCTCAGAGCTTGAGCCAATACAGGGGGTCCTTGATCCAGACCCTGGCGGGAGTGGCAAGGGTCCTTGTCCAAGCCCTCCCTCCCCGAGAATCATTTCCAGTCAGTGCACATATATATTGGGATGGGTAAGGCTTGTACCTCTCCAGTGTTATTAGACTCTTTTTGTATGTTGTGGCATATCTAAAGTGTAGCCCAAAGCTCAAGAATGTAACTCACAAACTCAAAGGCCACATAAAGAGCCTCCTTTATGCTCATTTATGGCAGGGAGCACGCAATATCCATCTCAACTGGCAGATGCTGCCTGGTGTGGAAGAGGGTGCAGATGTTGCAACTGACCAGAATATTCCCGCTTGAGGGAAGGACAGACTTGTGTGTCCCAAACAGACTGCTTTGCACTCCTTAGCATACCCACTCCACTCAAAGGAGGTGGAAGATGCCTTTCCATCAACAGCTTTGAAGTCACGTTCAGCTGGCTGTCCGGTCAAGTACTTTGTGTGGAGCTGTGTGTTGGCGGAGAGACAATGCCCTCAGATCTTAACCACAGACAGCAAAATGTCTTGAGCTGATCCTGCTTCCCTGCATTCTGCAATCCTTGAAGAAGGCAAAGGAGATGCCTTCAGGCTCCCAAGCACTGGTGCTCTTTAACTGTTTTTGGATTCGGGACTTAGTGGTCTTCCAGAGGGGAAGGCCTCTTGCAGGTCCAGTGGCAAGGAACATTGGGCTCTCCAGGTGGTGTTGGGCTGCCCCTCCTATCAGCCCAGGCCACACAGTATGGTGGGTGGTGGTGGGGAAGGGATGAAAAGAGCCCTGGACTGAAGAGAGTGGCAGGAAGGAGCACCACAGATTTCACACCTTTTATTTACCCTAGATAGGAATGTATACTATTTCACATAATTCAGTGGAGCTTGAGAGAACTCTCTCTTTTGTTGGTAATTTGACCAGACATTTGGAAGCATTTTTTTTTACTAAAACAAACACCCTGATTGTAACTGAAGTCCCAAGAAGTAAAATGCCCCCCCCCTGCTCTGACATGGGGCAAATCAGCCTTGCCGCATGGCCCTTTGTGCTGAGCAGGGAGGGGGCTGGATTCCTGCCCCCAGGCTGTGCCCTGGGAAGCCCCCACTGCTCTTGGAGGCTCCGTTCTGGAAGGGTCATGAAATGGGATGGATTGGCTTCCAGCTCAGGCAGTTTGCGCGCATGAGGAATTTTATCCAGGACTTTACCCTTTCCGAGCAACTTGACCCGATCGGTATGAAACCGGAGGGGTACACCTGGGTGGAAAGAGCTGGATCCGAGCGGAGGAGGGATTGGAAGCCAGCCGGCGGGAAGACAAATGGCCAGCCTCTCTTGTCAAGGTGTCTCTCTCTCTCTCTCTCACCTCTCCTCCTTCCAGCCGGATCCGCTCGGGGCTTCACCACCAGCTCCTGACATCCCGCCTTCGCCGGCTTCCTTCCTTGCCAGCTTTCCTCTCCCTTCTCTGGCCCCCCACAGGTGCCGCCCAAGAATGCTGGGGAGAGTCCAAAGGTGCGGCGCGCCGGATGCACACCGCTCCAGAGGAATCTCTTTTCCCCCCCCCCGGTCCCCCCGCTCAAGCCTCCCTGGCCGGCCTGGATCGAGAGGCCGCCGGGACACTTCGCTCTCCCTCAAGTTGTCCTCCATTCTCCTTCGCGTCCCGAAACTGTAGGAAAGCCGATTTATTTTAGGCTCCGGGGAGCAGGTATTTATGAGCAACAGATACTGCCAAGCCTTCGATTCTAGAATTGGGAGACGTTAATTTTCTGGACTGCGGCTGTCAGAACACGGCTCCGTTTCTGCGAGCTGCCACCCAGATGACCAACCTCTGATTTTTCCTCTCTCACCCATCACAAATAAGGGGAAGAGGAGATGCCTTGGCGAGCGGCTTCCTTTTCCCAGCCGTCATCCTCCGTCTGCCGGCTTCCCTTCCGTAATCCACGGAATCCCCTCCTGTTAGGAAGGAAGCGGCGAGAAGAGCACCCCCTGGAAGGTTTTAGAGCCGATCCCTGCTTCTGGCGGCGGCAGCGAAGGGGTTAAGCTGTCCCAGCCCGTCTCGGGGGAGGGAAGGGTCTGGTTATCTGGTACAGCGAGAGGCAAAAGGAACGCGCAAGCCGATTAAACGCCGCGCTCGCTCCT